GAGACCCCTCCCCACCTTCCCTCTCCCCAGGAGCCCCTCCTGCTCTGCCTGAGGAACAGAGGGGGCCCGGTCAGAAGCAGGGGCCCGTTCTTTCTCTCAGGAGGCAGGCCCTGGGGCGCAGGGATTGGCCGTCCCCGTGGAACCCTGCCCGCACCAGAACCTCAGCTCCCAGCCCCAGCCTCCCCATCATCTCTCCAGGACATCTGTGTACGCTCCACACCCTGCCTCCCCTCCCGTGTTCTTGAACCCTCTACACCCAGGCCAGAAATTAGGGGCCACCCTCTGATCGCCTTACACCCCCAAACATAACCGAGTCCGACCGGCTTACTCTCCCGGTGCTTCAGGGCGCTGTGAGCTGGCCCCCAGTGCCCCCGGGCTGTGCCTGTGCCACCTGCACCCAGCTCCACCGAGGGAGCTGCCCTCACCACAGGGCCTGTACACACGTCCTTTCTTTTGCTTGGGTCCCCCCTCCCCTGGATCCACGTGGATCCTTCCTTCGGGTCACAAGTCATCTCAGCATTTACAAAACTTGTCAGTGGACACCTGCACGTTTATAAGTGATTTGTTTCAGTGGTTGATCTCCGCCATTATCTACAAACCTCAGGCCACAGGGCCGTGTTGTTCATGACCGTGTGCTCAGCGCCTGGCTCAAAGAAGCCTGGTTAAGCATCTGATGAAATTTATCCTGACTCTCCCTCACCCTCCAAATCCAGTTGATCCTGAAGCCCCACCCATTTCTACCCCGTGGTCTCTGCTGCACCCTGCCTCTCTCCTCTGTGCTCCCCTAAACCTCCGATCGCCCCAGCTACCTCCCTAGTGCGTCCACAACCCACTGCAGCCAGAGTCCCTTCCTTGCCCAGGGCCCTGAAGATATAGCCCAAGGCCTGGACATGGCATTTGAGGCTCGTCCAGAATGGTCCCTCCCTGCATTCCTGCGCATCCTACACTATAATCTCACAGAGTACTGGACCTGCCAGGGGCTGCCATACGTCAGGGTCTTTGCACCCACTGCCCCTGACCTGGCAGGCCTTTAATGCTCTCTATCTACTAGGGATCTATACTAGAGCCTTGGCTCCAAGGCCACCGCAACCAAAAAGCCCTCCTGGCCCCCTCCCTTCCCTGCACAGACTCATACCCTAGCACTCCGCCGATTTACTTTCATGTCGGTCCCTGCCACCAGCCATGAGCTCCTGAGGGCGAAAGCGCAGTCTGGGTGGCTGCACTGCTCCCCCCAGGGTCTGGCTGCTGTTCTGAAGCTCACCACTGCGGACAGGCAGTGCGATTTTTGGCCTGGAGGGACAGCCGGACATGTGCTGCCATTCGCAGCACGGATTAGACGGCAGTGACCCAGTCTGGGTGCCCTGGTCTGCTTTTATCAGCTCTGCCCTTCCCAGCAACATGGACTAGCCGCCCACTTTGCAGATGAGGAAACTGAGGCTCAGAAGAGCCAAGTCCCTCCGGGAAGCCACAGAGCTGACCCGACAGCTGCCTCCTCTCCCCACGCAGCCTCCTGATGCCAAGTCAGCTGTGCACCCTGGAGGGGGCAGGGCAGGGGCAGGGCCCCACACCCCAGGTGGGTGAAGGCTGCTCTGAGCAGGGCAGGGACCTGCCCGGGTTCCACGGCTGGTCCCAGCCTGGCCAGGCCAGAGGCCTCGTCACCTGACCTGGAGTGCCTGACTCCGGCGCCTGGTGCTGGAATGTCGCTTATTCGTGCATCTGGGCACATGTCCTCTAACTTCTGTCTCCTGTCTGTGAATGGGGGTCACGAGTGCGCCTGCCCCAGGTTGCTGGGAGGATGAAGGCCTCAGTGGGAGGTCATGGCCGGGTTGGACTCACCTGCTAAGAGGTCCCCGGTAGACCCAGGCCCACAACTGCGTCACGGCAACCTGTTCCCCGTCTACAGACTGAAACAAGTGAAGTTCTGACGGGAAGTCTTACGGCCGCCAGGAAGCCCGCTGTCCAAAGCAGCTGCCACCCTGAAATCCAAACAGCTGGGGACTCGCTCCCGGCCCGTGAGGCTGAGGCTGCAGGGAGCGGAGGAGGGACAACCACAGAGTGGGGTCAGCCCCTCCCAGTCCTGTCGGCGGAGGAGCCTGGGGGCTGGCAGGTGGGGCGTTCCTGACCCTGGCCCCACGGGCCCAGCCACTCCCGAGGTCTCCCTGGGGCCTAGGCCTCCATCAGGCCAAGGGGACAACATGGAGGGAGCCCTGGTCAGCCTGCCAGGCCTGGTCCTGCTGCCTCTCCAAGGCCTTCCTCCCTCTCTGGTAAACCTTCCAGAGGACTCCCAGCCCACTCTGGTCACCTGCTCAGAGGGGACCTTAACCACATGGCTCTGGAGGGTAAGACGGCTCTAAAAAGTCTTGCCTCGAGGCCCTCAAGGGTCTGGCGCCTTGTGTCACCAGAACCACCCCCCACCACTCTCCACGCCTGGGTCTGAGCAGCAGCGGCCTCCTCCTGCCTCAGGGCCTTCGCCCTTGCTGCTCCCCATCCTGGAGGCTCACCATGAGGTCAGGCCCACCCCTCCTCACTATGGTGTCGGATGAGGATTTGACCCTAGCTTTTTTTGGGGGAGCGGAGGTCTATTTGGTTTACCATTTGGCCCCCATTTGCAGCCCAGCCTCATCCCCACCCTTCCATCTTTCAACCCGTGTATCTGAGCAGTGGCCTGCCCAGCCCTGGGGTCACCCTGGAGTTCTCCTGTCCACACCCCAGCCCAGCCTCCTACCCAGGTGGACCCTGCTCCCACCCATCCCACCTCCAGCCCTCAGGCTGGTTCAGGTGCGAGTCTAGGTTTGAATCCCAGGTCTGGGCTTCCCTGCTGCATGACTGGGCCAAGAGATAGGACCACGTGTGCCTCAGCTTCTCTGTCTGTACAATGGGTACAACAAGGTTCAGAATTACAGCTCCTTTAGGAGACACTGGGGAGCAGAGAGCGCCCTGCAGGGTCATGTGTGCTATGGTATCATCAGCAGTGACTCCAGGGGAGGGAGTGCCCCTCAAAGCATTCCCCACAGCTCAAGCATCCCCACCTCCTTCTAACCACGGCATGAAGTGGGGACTGTTACAGCCCAGGTTGCAGATGGAAACACTGAGGCTCAGAGAAGCCAAGGGACACTGCCCAGAGTCACACAGCTTGATGCCTGGAAGGACCAGAACAGAGCCCCATGCCCACAGTCCCCCGACTCCCACATGGCTGCTCAGAAACTGCCCCCACCCAATGTGGGGCGGGCAGGTGGACAGGCAAGGCCTCTCCAGCCGAGGTTCCACGCTCTTTCCAAAGTCCGAGTTCAGTAAATAACAAAACCTTGCTAGGAGCCACTGGGGGAGAGGGGAGGGAGGGGTGGGGAGAGGAGAGGCTTATACTGTGACTTATACCCCAAATAGAAGTGAAACCCTGGCGCGGGCCGTCCCAGGCCAGAGGCAGGCAGGCCCAGCCGGGGACACCGGGGCACTTCCTGGTGAGGCCGGAGCGGCAGCCGGCCCAACACCTCCCTCCACTGCTTCCTCTCACTGGGCAGGCCCTCTCCGGCCCATCCCTTCTCCCCACGCAGGGAGGCAGGAGGGCAGGGACAAGACTCAGCCTCTCACCTGGGGGGGGGGCAGGGCCCCTGGTGAGGTTCCACGGCACCCACGATGGTGCCGAGATGTGCTGCCACCAGGGCTGCCTGGGACAGGAGGGGCCCCCCACGGTCAGGCTCGGGGAGGAAGGGCAGATTGTGGGGCTCCTGGGGGAGACCTGCCCGTGGCTGCTCTGGCTCAGGCTGGGGTCAGCGTGGGGCCGAGAGCAGGTGGGACACCAGCTGGGTGGGTCCCTGGCCCACTGTCACACGTCTCTCAGTGTCGCCTGCCTGCCCATACAGGAAGCCCTGGCAGAGAGTGAGTGAGTGGCAGGCTAGGCCAGTGAGCCTTCAGGGACCTCTAGAGAGGCTGAGGCCCCAGCTGGGGGCCTGGAGGTAGAGCCCTGCCCTGCT